TGCCCGGTGTTTCCATAATTCCAACACTTGATAGCTTTCGAGCTGTTGCTTGGATTCCTTGACTTGGACCTCTTGTCCTTTGATCTACCTCTGTAGTTTGATTTGCCTCGTCCGTTCCTTTTGGTTGAATTTCTACATCTTGACTCTGTATGCAATATTGAAGAGGTCGTAGCTTCACCCGACTCTCTCTGTCGGATCTCCTCACTAAGAACCAGATCACGAACATCATCAAACTTTAACTTGTTGATTCCCGACGAGCTACTCACAGCTGTGACTGTAGCGTTCCAACTCTCTAGTAGGGAAGACAAAAGTATCAACAACCGAACTTCCTCATCAAACTCAATTACAACTGAACTCAATTGGGTTGTGACCGTGTTGAGTTCATTTAGGTGTTGTGCTACTGACGCGCCTTCCATCATTCTCAAATTGAATAACCGCCTCATCAAATGAACTTTATTTGCGGCTGATGGCTTCTCATACATATTTGAGAGTGCTGCCATAAGACCCGCCTGTTGGCCTTCTTATTTTGATGATGTTTAACAAACAATTTATCACTAATGTTGTTTGTCTAGTGTTTGTGTTTATCTATTTATTGTAGACAAATAACATGTTGGAGGATGGATGGAATCGAGCATTCACGATCATATCCAATGGAGGTTAGCGGAATTGTGGTATGAAGCCTATGCAATTCAAGTTGAAGATCCAAATTCAAGATTCATCCGTAAGTGTACCAACTCAAGCTTATTGAAACTCAGGATCAAGCTTGGGTAATTTAGTTTAGGTATTTATATTATGTGTGTTAAGTACTTTAAGCTCAATCATTTATACACACACATTTTATTGGTTTCTTTGTATATATATGTAGTTATATATATATATATACAACACAAGTTTTGGTTTTCATGTTTACAAATATGAAATTACATATTTCATATTTATTACTGTGTTTTGGTTTAGCTACATAGATAAGAAATAACAAATAAAGTTTTTCACATTTTTATTTGTTTCATATTCTATTGTGTTTAAGAATATCTTGCATAGAATATGCAATTTTGTGAAAATATTGTATTCTCAGTTTTTAGACTTAACTATAATCATATACATATTTTATTAAGTCTACAAAATCATTTTGTAAGGCTTCAAAACATGGTTTAGCCAAAATGTCAAAATTCATGTGTTCACATTTTCATGTTTTGGACTATTTTGTAAAATGATGATATTTTACAAATGGGAAGAGCTTTTTGAAAACCAGTCTTTGTAGCATGTTCATTATCATGTCTACAATCATTTTCCAAAGATTTACATTTTTATAATTTATTTACTATTTTTAACAAAGCATTGAAACTCACTTTCAAAACCATGTCAGCTGATAACCCGTTATCAGTCGACTGATCAGTCGACTGATGAAGTCAGTTGACTGGTGTGTCGACTGAAGAAAGTGCCTGGAATGTTCATTTTGCTCTCTGTTTTGTTTCCATCGACTGAAAATATTTTTCAGTCGACCGATAAGGTCGTATTTGAATATGATGTTTAGCTTATCAGTCGACTAACGCCACCTATCAGTCGACTGACGCTGCCCGTCAGTTGACTGATAGTCTGTCAAATGGCTAGTTTTGTACAGAATCTGTTTCTTGGAATTTAGGAGATTTTTGTTGGATTTCTCTGGGTTTTGGCTGATACCTTCTCTTCCTATAAATACCCTTCTACCTTCAACTCTCAAACTAACACCGCCGTGGTCTTCTCCTTCGCAATATTGAATACAACATTACAAGTTAATGTCAATCTGATAACTCGGATGGCTTGTCTGTCTAGAAGATTCCACTCATCCTCCTTCATAGACTCCGCCTTATTCCCTAAAAGGGGTTGATATAGATTTTTTTTTTTGATATAGATAATCCTCTATCTGTATTTTCTAGAATCCGAAATTTGTTCCATCGAACTTCTCTAATCTCACATTTCCTTCATCTGCGGTCATCGTTCCCACTTGAATCTGACTTTCTCTAAATCGTTTCAGGATCTGATACCATTTGTTGGAAAATACCCGGGGCTACGCTAAACTCCTAACGCAGTAAGAAAACGCAGTAGAAAAAAGTACACTAAGATTTAACGAGGTTCGAAAAACTTGTCTACGTCCTCGGGAGCCACATAATTAATTTCTTATTAATTAACAAGAAATTACAATACAAGAGCAGATCTCAAACTTGAGATCTCTCAATAAATTTTAATTATCACTGTAGCCACAGTGATAATTCCCTTCTTAAATACCCCCTTTAATTCCCCCTCAAAATCTGAGAACTGAAAAAATTCACGAGAGGAGAAGAAGAAAACATCGTCGCTGAGTTTTTGAGTCTGCCGCTAGGAGAAAAAAGTTCATGAGAAGGAGAGAAGAAGCACAGAATCTCGTGCTCGGGGTTTCCCTTTTATAGGGAAACCCTAGCGACAGGCTGGCGACAGTCTGTCGCTGGAGCTCGCTTGAATCTCGTCGAGCTCGCCTGCTTCAACCTCAAGCTCGCCTACGTCGCACTCGTTCAAGCTCGCCTGGACTTCACCTGGAGCTTGAGCTCACCTGGAGCTCGACCTCGCCTGCTTGCCTGCAACTCATCATCGACTCGAGCTGGATCTCGCTTAAAGGTCACTTCGCCTGCATCGTCGACCTCACCAGAAGCTCGACTACGGATCTCCTCGAGCTCACCTGCAATGCTCGACGACCTCGCCTCACAGGTTTGGGCTACACCCAAATCCAACAGCAACAGTGCAAGATAACAACTTAAGGTACCTATGAATTGAAGGATTAAAATGGAGTGAGGATTAAAATGGAGTAGCGCACTTTGGAGTTTATGTGATCATCGAATCCCTATGAAACTGAAGAATAAATTCTAAACAGAATTATAAAACCAACAATATTTTGTGCATATATAGGAATACTAGAAAAAATATGCATAATAAATGAGTAGCATATACGATGGACTCATGGTTATACTCTAAAGAGATATAATAGGAAATGATTGCACTTGTATGAGGTTAGCGGCTGCACATATTGAGGATAAAATGAGAAAATCAAGAGGCCACAAAATGTACCAATTAGGAGAGGCAATAAATTATAATCAACAAAGAAGTATAAGTAGACTTAGGGGCTGTTTGGTTCGCTATTATAATGGGTGGAAAACTAAGAAAACTCCTCCACATCAGATTTTTAGCCCTCCACGTCAGCTTTTTTGTTTCCGTCCATTTTTTTGTGCCGCTTTGGTTCGCTCGAATGGAAGAGGGAAAACTCTGCTGAAATCGCCGCCAACTAAGATTTCTTTCCCTCTCCGATTTCCTTCCCCAACCAAGTGAAATTGATGAAAACTCTGCCACGTCAGATTTTTTTCCTTCTCTGCTTTGTTTACAAAAGTTTTCCTTTTTTTTCTATGCGAACCAAACACAAGAAAAATAAATACATTGGTTTCTCACCGTTTTTTATGTGCGAACCAAAGCAAAACAATCTATTTTTTGGAAAAGTTTAAAAAACTCAAAACTTGTGTTTCTTTACATGAAATTGCATTTTTCTATATCAAGGAAACGAACCAAACAGCCCCTTAAAAGCATTGGTTGGAAGAAATTAAAAAGGGTATTTTAGTGGCTAACTCTATATACGGAGACTGTCGTAAACAGAACCGAATGGACGATACGATTTATGTAGCTAACCCCAAAAATCTAGGATAAAGGATTTGTTGTTGTTATTGTTGTTGGTGTTGCTATTCGAACTTCTATAATAACGACCTATGAGCCAAATGTAAATGATTTTCTTAATTATCCAAGTTTACCTCTAGGCATGACCGTAATTGGATAGTGTGGAGTTCATGTCGTGCTGGCAAATGACATGAAGACGCCGCAACCTCGGACTAGTCGTTGGACTCCTCATCCCTCGACCCTTAAGAGTTTAGGCTAAATAGCACTAATATACCCTATTGTTTCAACTACTTTTCAGTTATGTATCCCAACTAGTATTTCGCAGCGAAGAATGCCTTGTTTAAACTTGGCACTTATATACTCTCAATTTTTTTAGCAGCACTTAAATACCCTAATATTTTTACAATTAGCAATTAATCACCCTAAAGTTTTTACGACTAACACTTAAATACCCTAAAATTTTTAAAACTTGCACATAAATATCATCATCTATGCAAAGTGGAGGGTATTTAAGAGCAGATTTTAAAAACCTTAGGGTATAAGTGTCTGATTTAAAAACTTTAGGGTATTTAATTGTAATTTTTAATACCTTTAGGATATGTAAGTGCTAAAAAACAAGTGAGAGAGTGTGTATATATATAAGTGCAAGTTTAAAAAACTTTAGGGCATTTTCTTGCAACCAAATACAAGTGAGGCTATACAAGTGTAACGTAGATGAAACAATAGTGCATATAATTGCTATTTAACCAAGAGTTTATTAGTCCTTATATTCACACAAGCAGAGTAAAAATGAATTTCATAGCTTTCACATACAACTGCGAAACCATTACAGCATCTGCTCATCTTAATGTTCATGTTCTCATACCAATTCAATCATAGCAGAAACAGGTGACGTAGTAGCTCTATAATTTTAGCTGCATCTACTAACATTATTTTTGAAAGCTGACTATCAAGCATGGTGGTCAAATATAATGCTTCTAATTGTTTATTTTTTTTAACCATCTTATAATTTTAGTTGCATCTGCAAAGTTGAATAACTTTTCACCCAAGATATGTTACTAGCTTCTAGGAGCCTCAACCACGACCTATTTAATCAAGGAATGAAAACTGGTATGAAACAAACCAAGTTAAATGCCAAAAGTAGTGCTTTTAAATGAGGTTAAGCCATCCATAGAGCAGTGTTACAAAGCAATATCCTGCAAACCAATTTAAAAGAAACTGATTAAATGGAACTCATCCTGTTGAATATTATGCATTATTCCAAAAATAAATATATAAATAATACATATGTGACAGTCCAGGGAGTCAGCAGAATGATACAAAGGTCAGAATAATGAAGGACTTCGATGACGCAAAACTGATTATATGGCAACTCATCCTGTTGAATATTATACATTATTCCAAAAATAAATAATACATATGTGACAATCCAGGGAGTCAGAAGAATGATACAAAGGTCAGAATAGAACAGTTAAGTTCGCTATTGATATTCTGTTAAGATACGAAAATAAGTGGCTAGTGCAAATCATAGTTCATAGCATAATATTAACAACCTATAAGTAAAGGAAGGATGCATGAGGAACAAATGTTGCAGTATCGTAATCCTGCCACCATAATCCACTACCTCCAACTAAAACGCACAAATAATGTGCATTCCCTTCGTATTCTAAATTGAGTTCAGTGAAATATTTGCCCGAGTTGACAACAAGTCAACAATCTGAAATTTTTGACAAATATTTTCTGCGCTTGGAAGCAGCTATTTCTATTATATTCGTCTAGAGTTCTAGCTACCTTATTTATGTACAGAGAAGTCCTGAGAACATTGTTTGTCATCTGTCGGAGGAACCTGAAACAAAATCAATAATGGAAATCGTAAAACAGAGTACTTCTAATATTTTAACCAAAGGAGATAAAGAGATGAACAAATGATTTCCTTTCCCTTCTCTTGTCAATCTCTTGAACGCGTAAACTAACGAGAGAATCAAACCAGTAACAGTAAAACATTCACTTACACTTCTAAACAAAATTGCCCATTACATGAGCTTAGCATAAATTCCAGTATGGGAGTCTCCATGCTATTTCATTTTGATAAAATGTGCAGTCAGCAACTTTGAAACAGTGAATCCAGTGAAGTAATCAACCTCAAACAACTCTTTCAGCTTCTCATCACATATGATATTCCTCTTATCAGCAGGATCCTGCCACAAGATAGGTGTAAGTAAACATGTGTAGCCACATACATATAGCAACAACTAAAATTTTACTAAGGTGTCATTAGGCTAGATGATATCCACCTGTAAATCAAAAGGAGTCACACGTGACAGAAAAAACCCAAGACTATCTTCTATATATAAGGTCATGGAGATCAAGGCAAATGTCATGGAATTTCACATAGTAATATTTTTTGCGAAGCAAACAACACTCAATATTAGCTTCAACAATTCTAGAAACTATAGGCAAATTTCATATAATGACTGAGGGACTAATAAAAAATCATGGAAAAAAAGACTGTTTCCTTCCGACTGCTTCTAAGCTCGTTTTTCCCTTTAGATGCAGAAAACAACTTTCTTTTTCAGTTGTGCATGTTTTGGTTTGGCGGTGCTTGTCGGTCAAGCTCAGTTTCCAACATTGCAAAGAGAAGAAAATCACTGGGAGTTTATATACTGCTTGATTAAGCTTCCATGAATCTGCCACACTGGTGAATTGATATACAAGTTTCTTATTGCAACAGTATCTTAAAGCTAGATGAAATACACAATTGCATTTATTCTCTTAGATCTCATAATATGCAATAACCAACCTCAGCTAAAGTTGTCAACTATCTCATTAATATTCCCTTGCCCCCGGATTTGAGCTTGAAAAAAATTCATAGCCAGTCCACGTTTAAATCAGATGGCTTAATCATTGATTCTTTTAGCAGGCAACTCTTTGAACATTAAAGCAGCTCTACTTCAATCCTATGCCCATTCCATGAGCATAAATGAGGATTTCCACACAATTTGGAAAATTATAAGATGTTTATATTAAGTTCTCCGAGTAATCATAGGACACTAAATGATAGGTACCAGACTCTAGTAGTATACAATTGCTACCAACTTTAGAGCATGGCTTATTTTTACTCCTTTCAGGATTACTCTTTGAGCCCACAGCAAAACCATTGATCTAGGGGTGGGCATGGGCCGAGCTGAACCACGGGCCGGCTTAGCCCAGCCCGTATTTAACCATGAACCTGCTCGGCCCACATTGGGCAGGGCCAAAACAGGGCCGATATCCACCAGGGCCATGGGCCAGGCCAGGTCAAGCCCTAAATCCGGGACTAAAAGGCCCAGCTTGATTTTTTTTTTTGGCAGCCTACTCGCAGCAGGCCAGCAATTAAGCTGGTCTACTAGACCTACTTCCGTTGGGCCTATAGCGGATAACCTGTTTGAAACATCCCAGTAACTAATAGCTACCGCTAGCATTTTTTTGGCAGCCTACAAGCAACAAGCTGGCAATTAATAGCTACTATTGTCGGGAGGCCCCCCAAAACCAAAGGCTGAGGGCCTTTGGCTTTTGGCCCATGGGCAAGCAGCTACTACTGTCTGCGCAAGCAGAATAGGCCTTGACATGTGGGTCCTAAGCCCACATGGGTTTTGCTTTATTTTGTTGAAAAGCATGAGCTACTTTAGCTCTTTCTTTGCTCTTTCTTTTGTTGAAAAGAAAGAGTCATTTGGTTCTTGAAGTCATTCTCTGCTATGAAGGCTAGAAGCTAGTTAGTAAGTTAATTTTATGCCAAATCTTTCTTTTATTTCAAATCTGCACGTTGTTCTTTCAATATATCAGCCGTTTGAATGACTTTTAAATTTGATGTTTGAATTCGAACATTTCAGGAATCAGTAGTCATCCGGGATATAAATATTAGCTATCTCTCTCACCAAAATTCACAATTCATCCTCCATCATAGTTTCTTTTAAAACGAACTCTCCCAAACTTTATCCATCGTACTTAAATCTCTAATAAATCCGTACTCATCCTCATAACACCTTCCATCCTCCCAATTCGGTGTCACTGGAAGAGGCTATACACATTTCTCACATTCTCAGTACTATTCTCGTGAAGCTGACGGTAGTAGTAGTGGCCAAATCCATAATCCATCCTATGATTCTTATTACCCATCTGCTCTCGCTAGCTATATTGTTAATCCTACCGGTATTATTCCTTTTACTTATCCAATAGTAACCAAAACTACTGCCCCTCTAGACTCTACTTCTAGACACTATCTCACTTTCTTCGATGGAATAGCAACAATCGTATGGGCCGCTACCATCCGATTATATCATGTTGAGATATTCTATCTCTTCTTATCCTCCACCTTGACCTCCTCAACGTTTGTCTTCGATTTCTCAATCTTCAGATGTTCCAGAGACGCAAACTGAAGAAGCAGCAACTGAAATAGAAACAAAACAACCCACTCCTAACAAACTCCTAACAAACGTACAAAATCAAAAGATTCTTCATGGGTTTGATCTTATTTTGAAAAATTCCTAGATCCGGCAGGAAACAAATCAGCATGTTTACTAGCCGAAACGTCTACAAATTTAGGAAGAATTACAGAACAGGACCCATGGTTAGAGAAGCAGGCCCGAGACACTCTGACCAGCATAAGCCTTAGTCAGACCAGGCCATGCCTTGAAATTGGCGGGCTAACAGGTCTAAACCAGCCCGGCCAACGCCCACCCCTACGGCTAATACCAACTTACTTAGATCAGCGTAGAGTTAGGTGTGGGCCGGGTTAGTTCAGGCTCATGACTAAGCTCGACGGGTGCAAGGCCAAGTTTGGTCAGACCCAGGCCCACGTGGGTCAAAATGGGTCGGATCTGCTTCTCTGATCTCGGGTCTAGGATTGGACTCAACCCGACCCGCGACCCGCTTAGGGCTAGGCTCCACCCATGGGTTTTTTTTCTATTTTTTCATTTTTCAATTATATTAACTTTGTATTCATATCTATAAAATTATATTTAATTTATTTTTTCCCATTTCAAACTCTGTATTTAAAATGATATATATGTTGTATGTTGTACAAAGATAAACATCACGTAAAAAAACATCGCAAACATAAAGATATACGTGATTTGGACTTCGAAGGAATAACTGTCTACATGAAGGTAATAACTTTCCTCTAGTTTAAATTTAAATTACAAATACAAGAGAGAAAAAAGAAAATATATGTTAATCATTAATGTCTAAGGAGCCGAATTTCTCCAAGTTATATTTGTAAAATTCTTCAAGGAAATGTCTTGTTTGTTGTCCTTGTGATCATTCTTCTACATCGAGCCAGTCCTTTAAGCGCACACATCTCCACGTGTGCCGCTGTAAGTTATGTCCTCCATTCAGAAATGATTCTCTCGCCTGCTAAAATAACACTTTCTGGTGCGATCGTGGAAGCAAAAGGAGTTAGTATAAATCTAGCAACAATAGATAAAACAGGGTAGTTGTGGCTTCTTTCTTCCAGTATTCGAGTATGTTAAAAGACTCCAAGGACTTTCCTCATTCGAAGGTAGTACTTCACTTTCTAGATACATTCGGACTTAAGCCAAACCTGCATTTGAGATTTGCTTTTGTTTCGATTTGCTCACCATTTTCTTCGTTCATTTTGGCACTGGAATAGGATTACTATAGGATGAGCTTGACGTGCGTCCTTCTGAAACCTGTGATGGATACATAATATCTCTATACAAAGGGTACAATTTATCTAGAGTTTTCCTAATCTCTTTTTATTATATCTGATGTATCATGCCCATAACCCATATTGTCAAAAAACTCCTTAAGCATTTTAGATAAATTATCAATTTTAATTCTAGGATCTATAATAGTTGCTAAGTAAAAAATAAATGGCATATTTTCCAAATATTTTTTAAACTTACACTTCATATCCCTTAATGCAACCTGCAAGAGAGTCATGAATTCTATATTTTGTAAATAAATTCAACAATATTATTAAAATGATAAAGCACTAAATAAATAGTAGAATTGCAAACTACAGAAAGTGTTCTATTTGATGCCTCAAACTTCTCAAGGAAATGACAGAAACCTTCATAAAGACTCTACTCATAAGTGTTATGGAAATATCAAATAGATGTTCAAGTTCAATAAATGCATCGACGACTTTTTAGTAAAGGATGGCATCACTCAGCATTTTATAAGTAGAGTTTCATATCGTCTTAACATTAATCTCAAGAACTTTCCTCATCAAGTCATAAACATCGCAATAGTCCTTAAAGGGCTATTTTCTTGCACCACTACCTCATAAAGTGAAATCATTTTAGTTTCTGTAAATGCTGATCAAAAAATTTCATTTCATCCTGCACACAAAGGTTAATAATATGACAAACATATCTAATATGGAAAATTTTACCCTTCATTATTAGATTCAGAATTTCTCTCAATTTTGAATTTGCCAGCGTGTTCTCCGAAACATTATCAAAAGATATATAAAAAATGTCCTCTCTATCCTTTAGTCACGACAGGTTTGTGAAATTGCATCACAAACGCCTTGTGCGTTATGCAGATATTCAAACCTCCTGAATGATTAAAAAAATTTGTAAAATCCAATTTTCATTAATACAACGCAAAGTAACACAAATATAATGATTGTGATTGAGAGACTCACAAACATGAGAAGCTAAAGCTATCTTGGTGACTACAGTAGATAAAGTAGCTCGAAAAGCACAGAAAAGACATTCAATTTCTCATATAAATGTTCTGCTAATTTTTTGATATTCTGGGCAAAAAGAACTTTTAATATATTTTTCAAAAAAATTATCTTCGATATTATCAAAGGAAGTTCAACTTGCACAATAAACTTAGCTAAGTTTTCCTTAGCGAATTTGGGTTTATACTTGAATGTTAATTACCCACCTGTACCTCCAACAATCTATGACTGGGTTTTCTCTTTTCCACCATCTAGAAAGTCTGGGTGTTTATTTCTCAGATGTCGAGAAAGTGACCCTGTTTCGCAGTTCTTTCCAAATTTATAGATGTTTTGACGTGCTAAACAACGTATCAATCTGTTACCGGTTGGATCTAGGAATTTTTCAAAATAAGGCCAAACCTATAAAGAATCTTCTGATTTTCTCTATTTATTGGGAGTGGATTGTTCTGTTTGTTTCTGTAATTTTTTCAGTTTGCGTCCCTGGAACTTCAATATTTGAAGATTGAG